AAAATTTTCACCACGGGGAAAATTTCAGACTTAAAAAATTTATAGAAAATAAATAAAAACTATATAAATAAAAAATATTTTTTATAATTTTCTTAACCTATGAATCATTGGTATGCAAGAGTACTTGAACCATTACTACGCGGTCCTTTTGTGGAACTAGTAGAGTTTCTATGAACCAAAAGAGTACTTAAAAGGTATTTATAGTGTGTATCTTGTAATCAAAATATGGTCACAAGACCATACTTAAGAAACAGAGATGGTTTGGCGTTTAGGTGATTTATTACGAATTGTATAAATTATAAAATATACTTTTAAATTCACACCGAGTCATTGCTATTGAACTTGAATGTACCACTGAGTAGCATACTAAAAATATGTTTTAAATGGTTAAATAACCATACTCAAGTACAAATAAGGTCCGAGGTTAATGTGGTAAGGACAGTATAATAAAAATATTTGATCTTCTTAGAAGACAATGTTTTAATTATTATGTTAAAAACATACTCATCTTAGACGACGAAGGTATAATTGTTTAAATGGACGAAAGTTTATTTAGACATAAATAGAAATACCATATTGGGGAAAATCAGAGCGTGAAATCTGGGTGTTTGGATTAGCTGATGTATCTTACACGCCGACTAAAATTTCACTGCATTTAGTTTCAAACAGGGTCAGTAGTACACTCATACCTATTATTGAAAGAGTTTGTGCTCCAAGTACAGTTATGCACTTTGATGAGTGGAATGCTTACTTAGATATTACTAGTAGATTGAGATTTTTTTACTCTACTGTAAACCACAGTGAGTCATTTGTAAATGCCTTTACAGGTGTTTATACTCAAAATATTGAAAGTGCCTGGAGTAGATGTAAGTATCTATGCAAGATGCATAAAGGAGTTTTAGCATCAAAGATGGAATTAATTTTAAATAATTTATGTGGAAAACCATCATTGGTCACTGTAGTAACTCTGTTTCTACAAAAGATTCATTTTTAAAAAAATTTTTAAATATAAATTTGTCTTAAAATTTCAACCCCAACATTCAATGAATAAATTAGTAAACAACAACACTATTAACAACACAACAGATACAAGTAAGATTAAGTCTTACTTCACACAATATGTCGTCATGGGTCGTATCCCTAGGGTAAAACACGGCAGTTACAATAAGAATTCTGAAGATTTACTTAGTTTACTAAGATTTGAATATATTTGTTTATTATTTTTTATTAAACCAAGAAATTTTCTGATTTGTTATTATCGGAGGAAATTTTAGACTTGATCCGATTGATTACAATAAGGAAAGAAAGCAAGAGGAGTTTAAGAAGAAAAGAATTGTTTGTACAAAATGTGGTTTTATTGGCCGTGATATAAAACCTGATAATTATAAGGTTAATAAAGTTAAAAAAACTAGAGAAGAATCATTATGTTGTGTCCAAGGAAATCTTA